TCTTGAATGCTGACAAAAACTGAGGACTGATGGATGTGGGGGGGAGGAGGGATGGGCATGGAGGAGGGCACTTGTGGGGATGAGCACTGAGTGTTATGTGGAAACTAATTTGACAATAAACTACTTGTAAAAAAAATAAATAAAAAGAAAAAAGAAAAAAAAAGTAATAATAATATTAATTTCTCAAATTCATTTTCCCCTAGGTTTTATTTTTTTAATTTTTTGTTTTTTTGAAGTTTATTTATTTTTAGAGAGACAGAGAGAGAGCAGAAACAGGGGGAGGCACAGAGAGAGGGGAGTCCAAGCAGGCTCTACTCAGTGTGGAGTCTGACACAGGGGTCAAACTCATGAACTGTGAGATCATGACATGAGTTGAAATCAAGAGTCAGATGCTTAACCAACTGTGCCACTCAGGTGCCCCATTGCCTCCAAGTTTTTAACAAATAAAATTAATAATAGTATTTATATCGTATTTTTATATATCAAGTACTTAGCCTAGTACCTAGCATATTAATAAATGCTTAAACATTACCCATTATCAATACTGTAATAAAACCCATGTAATATATGCATTCTTTTTGCTTCCATTTGATTGAATTTATATTACTGTATTTGGATGAAAATGCATGCAGATGTACATTCACTTATTCAGCAATATTTATTGAGTGTTTTATCATGTTGTACTCCTGGAGCTAGGGATATAGCAGTAAACAAAAAGGAGTTCCTACTCTCATGAAGTTTATATTTTGGCAGGAGGGGGAGGACTCACATTATCATGGTGGAGAGGCTTATATTCTAGTAGGAGATAGGCCAAGAAAGGGTAGAAGCAGGATTAGGCTATATTTAGAAAATATGTGGAAAACTTTTTTGTGATTTTTATATAAAATAGTATTTTATTATAGCAGTAGGTTAAGAATATATTTATAAGCTACTTATTTTTATAAAAATATTTACATGGATAATTGTATATTTTATTTTAAAAACAAGTATACTGGGGTGCATGAGTGGCTCTGTCAGTTAAGGGTCCAACTCTTGATTTTGGCTCACATTATGATCTCATGGTTGGTGACATCAAGCCCTGCATGGGTCTCTTCACTGCTGATAGCACAGAGCCTGCTTGGGATTCTCTCTCTCTGCCCCTTTTGTATTCTTTGGGTACATACCCAATAATAGAGTTATTGAATCATATGGTAATTCTATTCTTAATTTTTTTAGGAACCTCCATATTGTTTTCGACAGTGTCTATACCAGTTTGCATTCCCACCAACAGCACACGGGGTTCTTTTTCTCTACATTCTCACGAAAACTTGTTTTTTATTTTAGGCATTCTGACAGGTGTGAGGTGATACCTCATTGTGGTTTTGATTTGGATTTCACTGATGATGAGTAATGTTGAATTGTTTCATGTGTCTGTTGGCCATCTGTATGTCTTTTTTGGAGAAATGTCTGCTCATGTCTTCTGCCCATTTTTTAATTGGGTTATTTGTTTTTTGGGTATAGAATTGTATGAGTTCTTTATATATTTTGGATACTAACCCCTTTTCTTATTCAGTATGTTGTCTTTTTGTTTTGTTGATTATTTCCTTTGCTGTGCAGAAGCTTTATATTTTGATATAGTTCCAATAGTTTATTTCTGCTTTTATTTCCCTTGCTTTAGGAGACATATCTAGAAAAAATCTTCAAGCTTTTTTTTTTTTTTTTATTACATGAAGCCCACAAGATTCCTGGTTCTTCTTTTAATGGAGAGGTCTCCATGTTCTGCCCTTCTGCTGGAAAACCCTGTAAAGGTAAGAAACAAGAGAATATTACAGGAGAATACTCCTAGATGATGTCTCTGGTCTTGGATTCCTTCTGTTTTACCAAAGGAAAATTCAAACAGGTTATCCTCTAACACGAAGAGACCCAGGCGTAAGTCCACAGCAGCACATAAGTACACTGAGAAAACTGCACAAAAATAGGCCAGCTCAGGCACTCAGAACTTAAACTTCAGGCTTGGATTAAGCCCCTAGACACATTAGGGAGACAACCAACAATTTTTCTATTTTACATGGAAGTGCTAATTTCACTTGCAAAAGAGAAGTACTAAAATAGTATTATGATTATAATAGTAGAAATGTAGGAGTATCAAATTTGTAATGTTATAGACAAATTAAGCATGAAATGCAAATACCACATTAGAGTGGGCTGGGTATTCAGATTTCTGCTGAAATTCTCTGAAAGGGTTACAATGGCTACCTAGTTCCACTAACTAAAGGGCTCTAGAGTGTCAGGAGAAGGAAGAAGTAAAAAAGATGATATAGAGAGAAGGTAAGGCAGCCTTAATGTTTGTGACATCTCCTCAGCTCTTCTCAGGAGGCTGTTCATAGATTTGAATATTTAGAGTAGTCTATTCTCTTACTGGATTATGGGTACATGAGAGTTAATTTAATAACTGTTACTTACCTCACAAGACTGCCACTTATGATGACTGTGAGTGGGAGCTTGGTAGTCTTAGTATGCTTGGGCTTCTATACCAAAATACAATAGACTGGCTGGCTTATAAACAACAGAAATTTATTTCTCACAGTTCTGGGGGTTGGAAAGTCCAAGATTAAAGTGCCAGTAGATTCGCTGTCTTGTGAAGGCCTGTTTCCTGGCTGTCTTTTTGGTGTAACTTCAGATGACAAGAGGGGAAGCAAGTTCTTTCATGACTCTTATGTGGGAACTAATCCCCTTTATGATGCCTCCATGCTCATTACCTTATCTAATACTAATTATCTTCCAAAGGCCTCATTTCCTAGTACCAGTATGTTGGGGTTAGATTTCAATATATGAATTTGGAGGTGGGGGACCAAAACATTAAGTCCCTAACAAAAATATCTGATAACCTGCAAATCTGATTGCTTCAATCTTCTGTTCAAAACCCTCCAATTGATCCTAGTGCCAATAGCACAAAATCACTCATTATTTGTTAGTTTGCTCATATTATTTCTTCATTCTTTCCACGAATATGTATTGAGTAACAGGCACTAGAGATACAGCAATTAAAACAGACAAAGGAGACCCATCCCTCTTGGAGCTTGTATCTTGTGGTGGAGACAAAGAAATAATTTTTTTTTGACAAACCATAAGAGTGTTTTATTTTTATTTATTTTACCGATAGTTTATTGTCAAGTTGGTTTCCATATAACACCCGGTGCTCATCCCCAGAAGTGCCCTCCTCCATGCCCATCTCCCCCTTCCCCCCCACACACACCCATGAGTCCTTAGTTTGTTCTCAGCATTCAAGAGTCTCTCATGGTTTTTTATTTTACCGATAGTTTATTGTCAAGTTGGTTTCCATATAA